ATTGGAGGAAGGCTTACTAACAACCTACAATACGCAAGTAATACAACCTTGCTTGCTGAAAGTGAGGAGGAATTGAAGCTCTGGCTGATGAAGACCAAGGATCGTGGCCTTCAGTAAGGATCATCACACAACATAGAGAAGATCAAAATCCTCACAACTGAACCCATAGGTAACACCAGCATAAATGGAGAAAAGGTTGAAGCTGTCAAGAAATTTGTCTTACTTGACTACACAGTCAATGGAAGAACCATCCAGAAATAAAACAGACGTGTTACATTGATTAAATCTGCTGCACAAGGCCTCTTTGGAGTATTGAAACACAAGAATGCTACTTTGAGAGCGAATATGCGCCAGCCCCAACCCACAGTGTCTTCTTCTATCCATGTGACCATTGGACACTGAATAAGGAAGACCAAAGTAGAATCGATACGTTTGAATTGTGGTGCTGGAGAAGAATATTGGTGCTGTCAAAAGGACAAAGATGTGTCCTGGAAGAACTACGGCCAGGGCGCCCCTTGGAGGCAAGGGTGGCAAGACTTCGTCTTACACGCTTAGACGTGCTGTCGGGAGAGACCTGCCCCTGGAGCATCGCATCGCATTTGGTAGAGTAGAGAGGGAGTGTAAAAGAGGAAGGTCTTCAGGGGATGGAGTGACACCGTTGCTGCCACCAAGGCTCAGACGAATAATTGTGAGGATGATGCAGTCCGGGCAGTGTTTCCTTCTGTTGTGCATAGGAGTCGGTCAACTCAATGGCACCAGTCCTCCCTAAATCAGTGTGGAGGAGTCCCTACTGTACACTGTTAAGGCCTCAATGACTAGCCAAGAGGTTGGTGGCTGGAACTCACCCAGAGGTGATCAGAAGACAAGCCTGGCCATTTGTTTCCCAAAGGTGACACTCGGGAAGACTGTGGAACCGTGCTCCTTCACACACGTGGAGTTGCCATTGAGTTAGAAGCAACTCCGTGGTGGGTGTCTGTAAAGCAAATTTTGAAAAGTCGGAAATACCTGTAATAATAGTATCGCCCTCATCGGGCTGTTATAAAGATGGAATAAGTCAGAACATGTAAAATGGTTAAGCAATACACGTGGAACAAGTGAATAATTATTTTATAACCCAGGCCATACCTCCTTTTCTTGGCTTGCAGAGAGAACTATGTTGGTTGCAACTGGGGTAGAGGAGAGGGAAGTAGCATGGATCCCACCACTCCACAACCAAACTCACACGGCCGCTGAGTCAATTCTGACTTAAAGCGGTGACCCTGTTGGCCAGAGTGAAACTACCCCCTGGGGTTTCCAAGTCTATCAACGTTATGAAAGCAGCCAGTCTCCCCTTTCGCCCAAGGCGCAGCTGGTGATTTCAAATAGCTCGCCTGTGGTTAGCTGCCCAACTCGTACCCCGCTGTTGTCACCAGGGCTCCTGCAGAGTCCCTCACTTGGGGAGCTAGCAGCCTCTCCTCTGGGCTGTCGCTCCAAAGTCATGGGTCCTGGGGCAGCCTTAAAAGGCTAGTTCAGAAGAAATTGGGCACCCTGGTGGCGTAGTGGTGATATGTGAAGCTTTCCACAGGTCAACAGTTCGAAACAGGCCGCCAGCCTCTCCTTGGGAGAAAGGTGAGACTTTCTACTCCCCTGCAGAATTACAATCTCAAAAGCCCTTAGGGCCAGTTCTAGCCTGTCCTGAGTCAGACTCGACTGGATGGCAGTGAGTTCAGTTTGGGTTTTAGAAGAACCTGAGAGGAGCTGACATGTGTAGTTCAGAACTGCCTGGAATTCATGTAAAGTGTGCTCATCTTTCTTAGCACTTCACTGCAGTACTTCTGTTTGCTGCTTTGAGCCCTCCACTTCTACCGACCTTCCTGGTGGTGTCAAGTGGCTGCAAGCGAGGAGCCTTTGGGAAGACATCTCCCAGATACCAGCTCAGCATGCTCCGCAAGTCCAGTCTCCCATTTCCTGGGACAGATTCTGCCCACGGAGGCTTTGGGTTGGATTCCAACCCCTCAGACTATTTGCTGCCTGGACTAAGTGAGGGCATCAGTATCAATGGAAACTTTAAGTCCAGGCATTTCAACGGTAATCCTGCTAAATAATTTGTTTCCTGATTCATATTGTTCACATATAAGAGGGGGTGGGAAAATCCAGAAATGTTTTCCAGTGCATTTCCTTCCTTCCACCCCCAGTCCTGCTAAAGATATGGATGCAGCTTTCATGGTGGAGGTTGGCTTACTCTCAAGGGTTCATCGGTATGTGCCTAGTTCCTTGCTGGGGATGGTAAGAATGTCCCCTTATACGTAACGTGGCTGCCGGGCTCAGCAGGGCTGCACCTGGAACAGGTGCTTGCTATGAGCTGGTTCTCCACCTCTAAGCTCTGTTGGAAAGGGGTCAGATGTTTATGCTCCTCTTCCATTTTCCCTCCACTTTCTCATCTGTTCAACCCATTGAAATCCAGTTCCAACTGCACAATTGAATTACTCTTTTGATGGTTAGTGGACGCTTCCATTCAGCCAGATGAAATGTGTGTCTGTGTGCACGCACACGTATGCTTATTGTCATGGTTCTCCCTGAAGGGCATCTGCCACGTCAGAGACCTGAGTCTCCTGTGGCCTCGTTGACGATCCTCTTCTTGATTCTTCTTTCAATCACCTTCTTCTTCTCCTCATCCCCAGTTTTGACTCTGTTTTGGGTCCTCAACCATCTCTTTCTCTTCTGTTCATTTTTTCCCTCATTCAGCTCATTCCTTTGGCTTCTACCCATCCCAGCAGGCCGCTGACTCTCCCAGGACCCCTCTAGAACCAGGTCAGCATTTCCAACTGCTCAGGGGCCCTCCCTACATGGGAAAGAGCCCGGTGTGATCACCAATGTGAATCTATTACTTTTACCCACCACAACCTCCTCTCTTCCTAGTCATTCCATTTCAGTCAGATACAAACCTGTTGGTTTGTTTTTCTGACCCAGAAACCTAATTTGAGTCATCCTTCAAATCACCTTGTTCACCAATCCCATGGACATAGCTTAGCATAAAATTCCCTCCCCAAACAAACTTTCTTGGATTTCTCTCGGTTCCACGCCTAACACCCAACCCAGGTCCCAGCATATCTGTCGGGTGACCGGCCTCGTCATGTCCCCATCTTTTTCCTCTCATCCACACCGATTCTCTTGGCACTTGTCATGAGGTCATGGGTCTGTTGCTTCCATCCTCCAACACTGAGTAAAACGTACCTCCCTGGCTGGTCTCAACAATCTGTCCCTTGTCCTGCTCCCTGCATCTATCTCTTGGATTGTCTTCGATCCACCAGGCAAGAACAATGGACTGAGGCCATGGAGGGAGCGAGCCAGTCGGTCCCCAGCCTTTCTGAGGCTCGTAGTCTCCTGCGACAGTAGCCCTCATTCCTCTCCCTTTGCCCGCCTCTCGAGTTCACCTTCACCTTTGAAGTTCAGCTTGACTCATCTTGAGTGCCTTTACCCTCTCTAACCACAGTGCTCAGTCTTTCCTTAGAGCCCCACCTGACCTTCACCTCTCTAACTGCAGAGCTCAGTCTTTCCTTAGAGTCCCCACCTGAGTTTGGAGCACTCACCGTAGGCTTTGTACTATAATATTTTCAAATACTTAACAGGTTCTTAATATGCTTGGTGTTTACTGGTTTTATTTGCTGACTGCAGCAAATACTGTCTCCAAGTTTGGTGTGTATTATTTGCCATTGTAGTAGTAATATTTATAGCAATTACTACTAATCTGTGTAACTAAGACACAATTAAGATAATGCTATGAGGCAGGCACTGCCTGAAGCGCTTTATCTGCATTTTCTTACGTAATCACTCAAGGGCAGGCTTGTTCAGTCCTTGGCCTTCAGTGGCGCTCAGTCTCTCTTCTGTCTGAGCCTCAGTGTCCTCCTCTGCGAAACAGGGAGCCAGATGCTTGCTCTTCAAGTTGGAGATCTCCCCCGCAGGAACCCCAGGCCCAATGCTGGGGCTCCGTTCAATTTCAATCCAAACCTTCCTTGTGGAATTTGTACCGTATTCTGTCATAAAACAAATGTGGCACAGTCTCTGTCCTCCAAGTTTGTCCCAGCTGGTGTCAACAGGAAGTTGGGAATATCCCAGGAGAGGACAGGGGAGCCCATTACATCACTTGGAGAAAGTTGACTCTAATTAGAAGCTTCCTGAAGGAGGAGAGATTTCCGCTCAGTTGACAAGACGCAGTTGGCGGAGTGGGAGTACAGAGGCAGCTCTTGGCAGCACAAACTTATGGTCCCAACAGCTATTCAGCAGTGACCCCAAACCAGACTGTGATTAGGACCAACAGAGCAGGCATTTCACTGTGCACTCCATTTGAAGTGGGGCGGGATGCTGCTATTGCGGTGAGATCACACCAGATGATTGTGGTAATGGAGGTGTAACACAAGAGAAGAGAAAGCAGAAATCAAAGGGCAAAGGTCAAGTGCACATGCCCAAGGACGCTCAGCACTATGCCAGAGGGGGGCCTGCCTACTGAGGGTCCTGCATCTTTAGCAGCCAGTACTTTTGTTTTCCTTAAGGAATAGTTTTACATCTTTAATACGATAATGTGCCATCCTGTGGTCCCAAGCTTATAGTCTGCATCTAGAGCGTGGAAAAGGCTCTTTAGATGCTTTCATTTGCAACAAAGCTTTTGAGCAACACACTCGCCCCAGGCCTCGGGGCTGAACTTCTGTTGCCAATGCACCCCTGCTTTGGCTTAATGGAAACCCCAGTTCTGAGATCAAAGAGAATTTCCCCCTTTGGAAAACACAATGATCATTTATTATTTCCCTTTAAGGAAAGCATTTCTGCCTCCTCCCTTCCAAGCCTCCCCCTGCCCCTACACACACACATATGCACTCTTCCTTAGTCTGTACAATCTCCGAAGTGGCTCTTGGAGTCCACTGGGGTGTTTCAGTCTGAGGACAAAGAAACACAGAGTAATGGCTGCAAGGCCCCGGCTGGGGCCGGCCTGCTTCCATTGCTTTCTGCCTTTCCTTTGTTTGTAGTGTGAGGCAGCATGAGCGCTATGGCCAGCTGGCCCTGGTCAACTCCACTGCGGCCGACACCGGCGAGTTCAGCTGCTGGGGACAGCTCTGCAACGGCTCCATCTGCAGGAAGGACGAGGCCCAAACAGGCTCCACCTACATCTTCTTCACAGGTAAGGTGCTTGGTGCCTTTTGGGAACTCTTCTGGCTCCTTGATGAAGTTCCCTCTGCATGCAGAATAGGAGTATGTTAGTCCGGGTAGACTAGAGAAACAAATTCATAGACACTCATGTGTATAAGAAAGAATGTTATATAAAGAGTAATTGTATATTAAGAACACATCCAAACCCAGTCCAGATCAACTCCATAAGTCCAGTATTTGCCCATATGTCCAATACCGGTCTATAAATTCTTCTTCAGACTCACATAACATGCCATGATGCTGAATGCAGGAAGTTCACAGGCCAGTGGGTGCAAAGTCTTGTGGATCCAGTGGCGATGGAGGCGGGACACACACTCCTTTCTCTTTGTATTCCTGTTGACAAGCCTGATGGAAAGTACAAATAACATTTCTAGTTCTCCAGTGCGAAATATGAAGTGTAGAGGGATTAGGTTAAGTTCTTCAAGGTCACACACAACTACCATTATCATATACATATGCTAATGGAAAATTTCCACCAACTGTTTTGGAAGCCCCCCTCCAAGTGGCAAAACCAGAGTTAGAAGCCAGAACCTTGGATTCCAGAATCTTTACAAGCACTGTCCAATATGGAAGCCACCAGCCTCATGTCAGTGCAAGGCATGGCTTAAATGCTCAGCTGCTACCTGGAAGATGTGGGTCTGTAAGAGAAAGAGCTGGTGGTCTGCTTTATGGAAAGTACAGCAGAAAACCCTACAGGAAGTTGCTCTGCAGAGCATGGGGCCACTCTTGAGTTGAAGGGGACTGACAGGCTTATAACAATAGCCACAGGTAGCTATCTGAATTCGAATGCAAATTAAATACACCGTAAAATTCAGTTTCTCAGTCATACAAGCCACATTTCAAGCGCTCCTGCGCTGGCTGTAGCTGGTGGTCGTCATACTGGCCAGCACAGCATCGGTACACTAAGCTCTGCTGCTCTAGACCTGTAGTCCGTGTGCTTCCTAAACCCACAGTGATCTTTGCTGAGCCTCTGTTGTCCCTGGCAGGCTGGCAGACCAAAGGGCTCCTTGCATTCTTCCTTAGTAGAACTATGAGCTGAGGTTTCGAGACAAACGTCCCAAGGGTTGAGGTCCTTGTGGCTTCCATCCCAATCTCTGGCTGTAAGAGAGGGGCCTGAAAAGGAGCAGGTGGGGCGGAAAGCACCTCTCTTCCTGGGCTAGCGTGTGCTCAGCACCCGGAGCTTACACTCGGAGAGGCTCCCTTTACAGAGCAGGTGTCCAGCCTCCTTCCTCGGCAGCCGTGTCTAAGCTCTGAGCTTCTGAGCTTCGGGGATGACGTCCTCCAGCAGGATTCAGAAGTGTGGGACAGGAAGTGTGTAAACTTCAGGAAGTGTGTAAACTTCTCCTTCTGCCTACGTGTGCTGCTTTTGTCCCAGGAGTTCCAGTTGAAGCCAGAACCTTTCTTAGAGTCTGATGAGGCTTTCACATGCCTCAAGCCCTTCTGAAGGTTACACTGTGACTGTTCACTGCGAGGGCAGTTTTGTGAGCCCCCCAGCTTCTCCACGGGAAAGACGAGACCTTCCGCTCCCTGAGGAGCTACTGTATGTGAAGGTCACAGGGGCAGTTCTACTCTGTCCCATGGTGTCGCTATGAGTTGGAATCAACTCGATGACAGTGCGTTTGGTTTTGTTTTTTTTTTTGCCAGATGAACATAAACCAAATCAAAACAAAGCCCCAAAATCAGAGTTTCCTAATTGCCCAAAGGAAAGTATTGGTAAATTAGTCATCATTTCTAGAAGCTAAAAATCCCAATGTCTAGACCATAGGTGATCAAATTTCTTTGGTCAACTGTCATTTTTTTTCCCCCAGAAAAAAAGATTACTCAGTGCCCCTCTGTCAAGGAAAACTTTTGTACTATAACCCCTAATTCAGGGTAACGTACAGGCATCTGCTTTTTCAGCCCCGTGCCCACCCCTGGTAGTTCCAGCACCTGCCTGGGGGCCCTGTCACTCACTTTGGGAAACACTGGTCTAGAGTCTGGCTGTCTGGCCCAGGAGCTAATGTTCTTCCTGCATGAACTCCCGCAGGGATAAGGCGATGAATGGATGTGTAGACTGACAGACCGACAGGAAGACAACAGCCAGTATAACGTGTTGCTCAGGAGAATTGTCAACTATTGTTGACAGTCCCTTCCGACGTTCACTTCAGAGTGTGCCCGTGTGCCTGTGATTTTATTTCACACCGTGAAACAGGTGGCGGAGGCAACCCATTAAGTCTAATAAGGGTCTGACTTTCTAAACAAGGACTGGTCACGTATTTCAAATCATAAAACGAAGGTTCTTTGGCAAGATTAGCACTGCCATGTCTTCCCCAAGTATGGACCAAGGTTTTTGACGGAAGGCTTTTTCTGGGGAGGGTCCTGGGTTCTCTCTTTGCACTCTGGAGACACATTCTCTTTCTTAACTTACTGAAGTCCTTTCTGGAACCAACAGAAGGCCAAAAGTTGAGTTCAATTTCACCTTTTCAAACACCCGGGTCAACAAAGGAGATGCCTTAATGTATGTTACCATTTCCGGCGTCCAATTGGATTTTCAGTCTAGCGAGAGATACTCTGCTTCCCAAGCAGGGCGGTGCGGAGAAGCCCAGAGGAGCTGTTACAGAAGCGCAGGCTCTGGATTCCTTCTGAGCACATGCTTGCCGGCTGCCCACAGAGAAGTGCCTGCCGCTCGTGGTTGTTCACGTCCTAGAGTTTGAGTGAAAGCCTGGGCACGTCTCTTTTTGGAGGCTAGCTGGTGTTCATTTGTGTGACTTTTGGTGAAGCAACTGTCACATTCTATCTATGATTCCTCTTTCATTTTGTCTTGCGGGGGATATCAGAGGAGGCAACTTTCCTCTCTGACTCCTTCAGACCAAGAAACACATAAGTCACAAGTGTACAGACAGCTCCGTGAGTTGCCATCCAGTGAAAGAGACACAGGTAACCACCACTGAGATCAAGGACGAGACCAGGACCCGCAGCTGGCCTTTCTCAGAGCGGAGTTTGGGGCCCCAATTTTCATCTGTAGTAAAACTGCAGTAATTAGTATGGTACTACATACGGAGTTAGTTATCATTTGGATTTTAGTTGATAGCCCATGTGCTTGTTTGAAATCTAAATTTACATGTGTCTTGTTTTCCTAAGGAGTTTGTCATCTACATGGGTAGATATATACACATTTGCAGCGGACATATGTGACTTGTACTTTTTAAAATGAACTTTAATGTACTTTTTACTGACTATATATATATATATATATAGTGATTATAAATACAGTATATAGTCACTATATATATGTGACCACATTTATCTATCTATCTATATGGATTGATATGGTCACTTATTTCAAAGCAAGGACTGACCTAATTAATCTATCAGAAGGAAGACCACATTTCTATGTTCTGTAGCTCGGATCATTCACTGGTTTTGTTCATCAGTTCAGAGTAAGCTTCTTTTGCTTTCAAAACCTTCACTTAAAAAAAGAGTTGACTCTAAACTTTATAATCATGAAATCCTTAAGTGTTGTCACTGAATGAGATCTCGACAGCTTCAGCCTTCTCTTTATGGTGTGGGCAACACATCGAAGGTCATAGAGGCTTCCTATGTGCAAATATGGTTGTTGGGCACAACACTGACAAACAGCCCCTTGTCTAAGGCTGAAAGCCAATTGATCAGGAAGCGGCACCACTAAGCCCACTTAGTGCAAAGACAGAGACTCACCTGACAGAGACCCTGGGTCTCAGTCAAGGCCAGGAGCAAAGACCTCCATGGTGCCATGCACTTGGCCCATTGAAGACGTCTCTGTTGTGTCTGAGAATTCTGCCCGGGGCATAAACTGTGCAATTGTGGCACAAAGAAAGCCAAGCATTGCTTGTTTCAGGAGCATCACAGGAAACACTCCAATGCATGTTGGGCTGTGAGTGGGTTCACCATTTTTTTTAAACTATTACTGTTCTACTCACTCACAGAATGATCCTGGGGAAAAAGTATTTAAATAATGTGCCATACCAAAAACAAACAAACAGAAAACCACAAACCAACTCCAGAGGCTCTTGCTTGTCCTCGGGAAGGCGTGGGTAAACGAGTCCTCTCTGCTGGAAGAGAAAAATGCCACCACGAGATCTCAAAAACCACACAGGGGTGGTGGTCACGTGGTGTCCACATTCCTGGTCCTCCCCTTCTCCATTTCCTTCCCAGAAAGGTTGGCAGTCCCTGTGCCAGGAGCGAGGCTTTCTTGCATGCAGACGGTGAGGAGGGCTTTCCGAGAAGCTTGCCACCCCCCCACCCCCCTTCTCCAGAGAACTGGTCTTGGGTCTAAATGACTCCAACCAGAAGTGCTGATTTGCTTAGAGGCTTTAAAACTGCTCAAGACATAAGGAAGCCAGTCTCCTTCCTGCTTCCTTAGTGTGTAAACTCCACGACTCTGATTTGGACGCAAACAAATATCTTTTAAAATCTCCTTCAAGGAGATGGAAACCATTCTTGCAAAAAGAAAAAAAAAGCATTAGAAAATACCTTTTTCTATTGGTAAGACCTCCATATGCTGGGAGACATGAGACGTGCCCGAATGCAAGCATCCTCAAGACGCCCTTCCCGCGCGTCTCCAGAATAAATACCCCGTGTCTTTCCCTTTTGCAGAGAAAGGAGAGCTCTTTGTACCTTCTCCCAGTTACTTTGAGGTCGTCTACTTGAACGCCGACAGACAGGCTGTGGTTCCTTGCCGAGTGACTGTCCTGTCAGCCAAAGTCACCCTCCACAGTGAGTTCCCGGCCAAGGAAATCGCAGCCAATGGAAAGGACATTATGTACGATGTGAAGAGAGGCTTTGTGTATCTGCAGCCCCACTTCGACCACCAGGGGGTGGTCTACTGCAAGGCTGAGGCTGGGGGCAAGTCGCAGATCTCCATCAAGTACCAGCTGCTGTATGTCGAAGGTAAGTAAGCCTGCCGCCCAGCAATCCTCACTGTTCCTGACCTGCAGATGGAAGGAGGCAGCATAGACTGCTCTCCTCGACCCTAAAGGTTCTTAACCTGGGGGTGTCAACCAGGGGTCGCCCGATTCATAACAGTAGCAAAATGACAGTTAGGAAGTAGCAACGAAAATCATTTTATAGTTGGGGGTCACCACAACATGAGGAACTGTATTAAAGGGTCGTGGCATGAGGAAGGTTGAGAACCACTGCTCTAGAACTAAACCAAGCCCGCTGCCGTCGGGTTGATTCTGACTCATAGCGACCCTATACCAGGGTTTGAAATCATTTCAGGAGCAGACAGCACCATCTCTCTACTACAGAGCCCCTGGTGAGCTCGAACCCCGGGTCTTCTGCTTAGCAGTTCAGCTGAGCCGCCAGCACCACCAGGGCTCCTCTGTGGTCAGGTGCTGTTGAGCCTCTGGGCTCCGCCCGGCAGCGGCCTGTTCCCCTCACCCTTGTTCCTATGCCTCAGTCCACCGGTGCAGCTCCTGTGCCAATCCATCTCCTCCAGGATCTTTCCCTCCTTTGCTGCCCCCCGCCCCCTTGCTTTACCAAGCTCCTCCAGTGGACTGCGCATCTAAAGCCCTCCTTCCTTGTTCTGGTGGTGGTGTGGATTAAGCGTTGGCTGCTACTATAGTCAGCTGTTCAAACCGTCAGTCACTCCTTCAAGAACAAAGAGGCACTGGGCTCTCGGAACTCCAAGGAGCAGTTCTATTCTGCCCTGTGTACGGTTGATCCTTTGAGTTGGAATCCGCTTGTCCACGGCCCCAACCTCCTCTCCTCCTTCCTTTCTGCCCTCTGGTTCTCCTGGACGGCTGCTCGGCAGTGCCCATCCCCAAGCTCGGAGGACCTCTTCTCAGCGTCTTTGCGTTCACCCAAATGGGATCCGTGGCCTTCTTTCCAGATCCACTTCCACCTCCTGGCTGTTGTCATTCCCTCGCCTCTTCCTAAATCTACACTCCTCTGGGGTTCCTGCCTGCTGGCTACACCAGCTTTCTCCTCTTCTTTCCTTCTGACCCCTTCATGCATTCAGGATCTTCCTCCTCTGCTCAGAGGGCGGCTGCTCCCCCTGGTGCACTGGCGGACCAGCAGTCAAGCCTGACACCCCCTTCTTGCCCAGGCGTCTTGACTTTTCTCATCAAATCACCTGCCTGTGTGTCTTCATTTTGTGCTGCTCTCCCCATGTCCAAAGCACCTCTCAGAAGGGGTTAGGGTTAGACCCAGCCTGCGCCCCATAGGAGCTCCTTTAGCTGAAAACAATTCACTGTTGGCTGCCATAATGCCAACCTGGACTCGTGGTGATTCTGTGGCTAACGCTGGAGATGCTGCCCATTTTTTTGCCATCAGCTTCGTGATCGCTGGCTTGTTGGCCCAGCGGATGGCCAGGGTGTCAATTCATCCCATTGAAGCTCATTACTTATAACAGAAAATCTCATTTCCAAACACGTTCACTCTCCTAATACTGGTATCAGGAGTCACACATATGTTTGGGGGGAAACATTTCATTCCATAACACCCCTCAACTTTGAATTTTCTTCACAGGGCTCTTGACAGACTTCCTAACCCCCTTCCCTAAGTACGAGAGTGGTGGCTAGACTCAGACAGCTCGGAAAGATGACCCCCTTCGAGCCACCGTCTCCGCTCTCCACAGCATTAGAGGGGGCTTCACAAGAAACAAAACGGTGGGGTGGAGGGGGCCGTTGCCAGGTGGGGAGCTAATGATAGGACAGGCCCTGGTGTTACCTGCTTCCCTGAAAGAACAGGCTCATCTTGTGTTCGTGAGTCTCATTGCCCTTTCCTGTCTTTTGCCGACCTCCAGTTCCCAGCGGCCCACCATCAACAACCATCTCGGCGTCCTTGGACAAGGTGAAAGGTGGGGAGGACATCAGTGTCCGCTGCACGGTCCTCGGGGAGCCTGACGTGGACGTGGAATTCCGGTGGCTCTATCCAGGGCAGGAGGTAAGCCACTTTCAGTCCCCAGGCTTGGTTAGAAGGGTGGGAAGGCTGTGCTTGTTTTAAGATGGATTGGGGTATTCACCGATGGATTTTTTTCTCTTTCTTCAAAGTGCTGGGGGGAGTGACAGGGTCTCTTTGGCCATTCACGCCATGTGCTCTCCTCAAGGACTTTTTCTTAAAACCCTTCGTCAAAAAGGGCCAGGGGTCTAAGAGGAAAATAACGGGGGTTTCCTTCTCCCACCCACTCCCCGACCTTACTCGTTAGTCCCCGTCCCCCCCAGGTCTGCTGACCCGCTTCCCACCCTCTTCAGAATGTCCTCCTCTACACCAGCCACCCACCGCCTGTGAGGAAGGCTGAGCTCTGTCCGAAAGGGGCGTGAGGCCAGAGGTCATTTGAAAATAATCTTCTCGTAAAAGCCGCTGCAGCCTCTGTAGCCTGTGTGCATGTCCTGCCCCCTGAAATAAACAGCTTTGCTGTCAACATGCAATAATCCCTGTTGCCGAAAGAGATTTGGTCTCCGAAGACATCCTCCTTATGGGCGGGCTGTGGAAAATAAGTATCCCTGGAGAAGAGTTATCTTCTAGCATCCGGTAACTTAAAATGTTGCCACATTTAGCTAGTGATGTTTCAAATAGAGGGTTGTTTTCGACATCGTGAATTGGCATTTTTATGAGCAGAAAGCACAACAGACAGAACGCACTGCCATCGAAGCGGCGCTGACGCCTAGCCCCCTACAGGACAGAGCAGAACTGCGCGTGCGCCTTCCCCGGACTGTACCTGATGGGAGTGGAAAGCCTCCCTCTCGCCAGCGCAGCAGCTGCTGGTTTCGAAATGCTGACCGTGCGGACCGCCAGCAATCCTTTTCATGAGCCACCAGACCCTTCAGCTTTCTTTCGGGGCTATTGTTTCGTTAGTAACTTTCTCCTCAATGTTCTATTTCTCCTGTTGGAAAGAACAAGAAATTGGAACTGCCCTGGGCTGTAAAAACCTGCATACAATTTTCCACCCTGAACCTCTGCACGCTGCCCACCCCCACCCCCCCTCGCTAAGAGGCCTTTGCTCACATTACGTCCAAAAGAAGCCGGGGCTCGCTCCAAAATGAGAGTGCCCGCTGGTGCAATTATGAGCGGAGAGGGTGTGAATTTAGAGATCTTCAAAACATTAGTTATGTCACACAAGAGACCCTCCGGCTTTCTAGAAGTAGGCGGGCACCTTCTCTGGGACATCGCCGGCCCCACCCTCGGCACTTTCACTGCATCCTCTGGCACACGGGACCCCCACACATCCCACTCCTCAGATCCGAACAGCGGGCACTGGCTTCAGGGCGAGCCTCTGGCTTCTTTGGACGTGATGTGAACAAAAGCCACTTAGCCAGGGGGTGGAAGTAGGTAGGCAGCCTGAGGTGGTTCCGGGTGGAAAATTATATGCAGGTTTTTGCGGCCAACAGCAGCCCCACTTTCTTGGAGTTTCAAAAGAATAACTGACATTAAGTAGAAACTTACTGAAGAAAAAATAGTGCCCAGAGAGACATGACTGAAGAGTCTAGTGACATTCCAGGCTCTTCCTGGAAAAGATGCAGCCAACAAGGATTAGGCAGCGAGAAAGCTCCCACAGCCGATGAGCTAAACACTCCAAATAGCCTTTTCTAAGCATGTGTTTTGCACTTTGCAAAGGACACTCAGCAGTGTTGGCTTAGCAGGAGCTGTTTATAGCAGCCTGTGGTTGGTGCTTCAGTCTGTGTGGGTGTTGTTGAAACAGGGTGAACGGCCGGTGACGATCCAAGACACTTGGAGGCTGATCCACAGAGGACTGGGACACACCACAAGGCTCTCCCAGAGCGTCATTACCGTGGAAGACTTTGAGACCATCGATGCCGGGTACTACATCTGTATGGCTCAGAACCTCCGAGGGCAGACCACAGTTGCTACCCTGGTTGAGTCTTCCTGACTTGAAAACAAAGTAGAGGGCGCTGGTGGAAGGCCCCTACACATAAGCCATCAGTCCTACGGCTCCTCTGGCCTGGGGTTAGCCGGAGGCTGACGTCAAGTGCCAATCCCCACCCTTTGCCTTATGCTCAGACCTAGAGTGCCAACAGTAGAGGGCGTCCTCTGGTTTAATAGCAGAACTATTTTTAACAGAAAGCATGTCTTTTGATTGCTTGCCTATGTACCTGTGTCTCCAGTGTTTGCCCCAAGAAAGCACATATGTAAACAATTTTATATAACCAATTCTATTAAATGAGCATGGTTTTGTAAAAAAATTTTTTTTTAATGGGTGTTCTTCCTTTTGAAGCTAGCTTGAATTGAAGTACATCCAGAAGGACCTGGCAGCCATGCGTGGGTCAGTACTTGGTATGTTCACATGACACCTATATGTACCCAGAATTTAAAAATGTTTCTAAGCAGCACCAATGGAGTTTCTAAAAACCGGTTGCCATCAGGTGGACCATGCCTCACGCGACGCCATGTGAATCAGAGGGAAACGTGCTCCGTCGTCGTCAACGGCTGATTCTTTGGCAGACCGTTGCCAGGGTTTTTCTGCGCAGGCTTTCTGGGTAAGGTGACCAGATTTTAACATTGGTAAAGCGGGACACCATTGATAAAACTCATATCCTTGCGAAATAGCCACAAGACAGCCGAAAACCATATACCCTAGCTTGTCGTGCATTCTGTAAAAAATCGGGACTTTTTAAAACCGCCGTGGGATGTGGGAAAAATTGTTAAAAATTGGGACAGTCCTGCCAAAAGCAGGACGTCTGGTCACCTTATTTCTGGGTGGACTCGAACCCACACCCCTTCGGTCAGCCGCCAAGTACAGGAAGTGCATGCCCTGCCCAAGGTCGGTACCATCCAGTTTTTCATCATCAGTAAGATGCAGATGCTAACTTGCTAATTTTTTCTTACGATGGGAGCTAAATTTACAGGGGTATTTTTTTTTTAAATCACAGGTAATCCCTTAGAATGTATTTGAGTTATAGCGAACAGCACGTACGTATGACTGTGCCATGGCTGTACATCTTATCATTAGTAATACATAATACTTACCATGTTGTAGGGTGCAATTTGCTGAGATCGTAATTCTCAGAGGTAACGTTTCCAACCCTCACAGGTTTATAAAGATACCGATAATAAAAGGCAACAGTCAATGGAGTGGGGGGATGAGGCAGCCAACTTAGGTCAGAAGTGACCGGCCAAAGAGCCACTGGGACAGAGCCCGCCATCCTCTGGGGCGGCCTATGCTTGCTATTGCTCGTTGTTACACTCGACAGTGGTCATCTTCGATGAATCATCCCATAGGACCTAGAACATGAGCTTTTAAAGGATACATTTCTTTGAAGCACATGCAGAGATCAAGGAAGAGTCCTCTTTGCTTTGCATTTTGTTACCATCTTTACAAGCATTGGGGACATGCTATTCCAATTTCCTTACCTGACACAACAGGAACTGTTAAAATTAGTAAAAGTTTATTTCTCACACACAGCTTTGAATTTTGAAAAGAAAGCAAAGCTTAGCTCTGAGTCCAGGCCTATGAGCCGTATTTCACACCACAGCCAATTTTGTTGGCTGCAATGGAAAATCCTGAGAACTCGCTCCAGGGGTGACACAGTCTCTCGACCGCTGTGTTGTGGGGTGGGTGGGAGTGGGGCTACACATTAGATATCATTTTGAAGAGTGATGTATGCCAGAGGCTGCAAATCTTAAATCGAATATTCCAGCATTATTTATTTGATCAGAGTAAAATACACTTTCCATCACTACAAACCGAGTACAACTAAGTTGATTACACAACCATTTTTTTTATGACGTGACAGTTTTCATCCAAGAAACATTTGGTTTGAAAAAAAATCGTAAAGTTCTCTATTTTGTTTCCTATCTTCTCTCCTGTTGTCTTCCATCCCCTGAAGACGTTTTGTAGTCGCTGCTTTAAGATTTGTTTTCCCGGACACCTACATAATGACGGAGGACAGTAGAGAACAACACGAGACTCACCATGCGCAGGGGATGAGTGGCAGACCTGACTTTGGCTAGTGACGTTGACATCAGCTTGAAGGGTGAGCAGAGATATGCTAGGAGGTGGCTAGGAGGTGCTAGTGAACCTACATTCTAATTGGTCAGAAGTGAACATGATAAACTACCGGAGGTTAAAACTTCAGACACCATCACTAACTAAAAAAAAACAATAACGTGCATCGTGAGTATCAATTCACTATGTAGTGTACACACACTGATGACTCAGGTATCTGCCTCTAGTGTCCTCGGGGGTTCTTTGGGTGGGGATTATTTGCAGAGCCAGCCACGTGGGTGAGTAAACACTGACATTACAAGGTGACACATGGGGGGGCGGGCAGCCACAGCTCCTCTGCCTTCCGCAGGGTTTTAGAACTGGGTGGGTGAGGTGGGGGCTATATATGAAATTTGGTGAGAAACTGAAGTGTAGTTTAAAGGACAGTTGGACGAGCTGCATTTCCCACTCATCAGCCGGCCACTCTGCTCCCTCCCCAAGGACGGAGAGATGGCCTAAGGGTGCCAGGAATCTTAGGGTCTTCCAGGTGGCTTTGTTGTAGTCAAGGACATCGATGGTTTGTTTCATTAAGGTGCCCTGGTCACTGACAGGCATTTCATCCTAGCTTGCTTAAGTTCTGCTATCTAATGAGTTTCTCCCCCCTCCCCCTTAAGAGTTTCCAATTTGTAGTCTCAAATCCAGGCCTTAGTTTATTGGGAAGTTGCTCCAGCACCTTGAAAACTGAGCTGGCCCTGGAGAAGCATATTCCCTGTCCTTGTCCTAGAGGAAAGTAGGGAGGAGGTAGAAGGTCGGCTGTTGTGGCTCTGGGCGGGTCTGGGAGAGGGGAGGGGGTGACTGTTGACTGGGGAGAAAGGGAGAGAAGACAAAGGTTCCAGTCTGCAAGGAGAGCTTTGATGGGGGGAAAATAAGGCAGCCCCAATTCTTTAGGACTGCCCTTTTACTTTATACAGGTTTTTTAGAAAAATTCGGTTCTGCATCTGCTTACAGCCTGAGAAAATGGGTCAGAGTGTGTGTGGTGCTAGGCTCCCGTGGGTAAGTTACAAATCTACCAAAGGAAACCTAGCGAGTTTCAACTGAACATTGAAAACCAGTCAACAGAGTGACTCCACACAGACAGCAGGGAATGCACAGCCCTGTCAAAGCTTCTCCTGTCGCCAAGGAAGGGCTGAGTGGCGTTGTGATCATCGTGATGTGAGCAGCGATTGCTCCTTCTTCTATGGCTTTGGCTGAAAGGTGGACGCTGTGACTTGATTAGGACCCGTCCGGACATCGTCAGCGTTTGACTTCCCGACCCAGCAACGAAGGCAGCATCAGACCCGGCACCCGAGTACATCCACTTCATTCACGCATCCTCAGTCAGACGGAGATAAAAATCACAAGAAGGTGTCTGTGGTGAAGAACATTACAGAGGTTATAAATCTTTATCTGAATGAGCCCCTGAGAGTTTTTCCCGTATGCGCAGGTGAAAAAGGCAGAGAACAAGACTCGTCCGATCCGTAAGTGCTTTGTGCAACAACGTCCACGGGGGCGCGTGCCGAGACGCTCTCCCGGGAGCCTTCGGGACGGAGCCAGGAGGGGCACTGAGTCCCAGTCTCCGAAGCAGCCCGTCCGGTGGAGGTTGCTTTCCAGTTAGACTGCGACGGGCGCACGGAAGCCACTGTCTCCCTTGCTCCCGCGACCGTCACGAGGGTCAGTCCTGCAGACCCGAATCAAGCAGCTTCCGGGCAGTCTCTCGGCTTCCAGGAAGCGTCATCTGGGTGAGACGTTGGGACTGGGGAAGGAGCCAGAATTTCGGGGTGACTGAAAAGGGACCGCTGCGGAGCTGGGGGACTTCTTGGGGCTGCACAGGTCCCCGTTGTGCAGCTTCCACAGCAGCTCCTCGTTCTCCATGGACAGCCGCTTGTTGACTTTCGACTCCTTCTCCAGCGACTCCTGCAGCACGGCCTGCTCGCTGGAGAGTTGCCTGCAAAACGGAAAGCAGCGGGTTCACACGGGCTCGGGGAAGTGTGAGCAGTCTCTGTTTGCAAGTCCAGGCCGTGGTCCCTGTGGAGCAAAAGGGGTTCACGCCCAGCCCCCGTGAGTCATGGGCCTCTGGGTCACGGTGCACCCTAGGAGTGCGGCCCGACCGGGGACACTTCTCTTGTGACAACTTCCACGGAGGATGAGGGACAGGTTCGGGACTACCTGCTGGCGGGGCGCTTTTCGCCTGGGTTGCACGCGTCTCTTCTGGAAGCCTGAGCAGAGCCTTCCTGACGGAGGTCTGCGTTTGGTCCAGGTCCTCCCGGTACAACAGGGCGTGGTGAAATGCCCGCTTCCCGATAGAACAGCGCCCCGTGGATGTGTCCCCAGCCGCCCACAGCCAGCTGGGAGGCACCCGGGCAGAGAATGGCAACAAAATGACAGCTCAAGGGAGGAGCGTGGGGAAACTACGACAACGTTTACCTGGAAATCTCCATGTGCTTGTCCATCCGAGCTTTTAATTCCTCGTTCTCCTGCTGGAACCGCTGCAGTTTGTCCACCAGGGCGGTGTTGTTGTCCACCTTGGCACAAGCAACAAGTCCCACGTTTAGAAAAGATTCCCCTACGAGAAGAGTGCTGCACTTCCTACCGCACAGCCCTGACACACCTGGGCACCGAGAGGGCTCGTGAGAGAGCCTGTGAATCCAGTATCGAGATGATGTTTAAGATGCCTGCCCGCCAGGCTCATGACAAGCTGAGACACCAGGAGGCCAAGTCCAGACCCAGACCGTGAGAGACCTGGCGCCCTGGGGATCCTTTTGGTTCCAAGTGAGTAAAACCAAAAATGGCAGCTCAGACGCCTCTGTTGATCAACAACCCAAACTCTGGTAGCTGTCCAGGGGACTCTGACTCCCGTGTCTCCGAGTGGAGTGGTGCTGGCATGGCAGCTCTTGGGGAAACCGAGCATCCAGCCCTTCCGAGCGCCCCGGGGCTGGCCTGAGCGCTGGGGGGTCATGGTCACACAGGGCCCCTGTGTGGACTCAGGCCACCACACTTTGATTAGGGGCCAAGCAAGGGCTCCACACCTTCTCACAGTACGTTTCCGCAGACACAATCCTCCCCTGGAGGAACGCCTCAGGGGCTTACAATAACAGTTCTCAGTCCCTGGCAATGCTGGCTAGAGCCCGGTAGAGCGCATCGACTGAAACAAGCAGCCGCAGCACCCAGAGCCTCCCTCCGCCTCAGCTCAGCGGAGGACAGTGTGCTGTCTGCCCAAGCGAAGCTTTGAAGGAAACCAAATGGATCCGTTGAGGGATTAAAGGCTAAGAGCCTGGAAGATAGTTTATCGCAGCATAATGGACGTCCAGTTCCCTAAAAGGTAACCGTTTAGGGTTTAAGAGGCAACATCCTAGTTTCACTGGAAATAATTCTTAACCCCGAGCCACTGCATCATACGACGAGTCTACTTTATACCTTTTCGTCTGGAGGCCTGTGCTCCGTCAGCTAACCCATGATCCAGAACATGCTCAGGACAGGACAGCCCGATAACAAGAACTTTCCAAAGAACAAGCTTTGGCTTGGGATTTCCAGTCGTCATAAAGGAACTCAAGATGCCAGAGGTGACTGGCCTCAATGATCTGCTCCACAGTATTGCCCCACCCGCCCCGCCCCTTCACAGAAGAGGGAACTAGCCAAGGGGGTGGTAGCACCGATCAAGTTCATGGCAAAGCTGTTTTCGTACCAATACTTTCATTTTCAGAAAAGGCTTCCCTGCTTTTGGAACATGTTGCTTTTAACAGAGGCCCGAAGCTTCCGGATCGTGTGATAACTGGGTCCACCTGCCCTCTTCTCAACCGCTCTTCCACACACACTCTGCGTGCTGACTGCTGTTTCTCCCGGCACCTCTGGGCCAGGGCAAGAACCAGAAAGACTTACTGGGTCCACACAAAGGACATGGTGCTGGTCATTCCACAGCCGGGTGCGTCAACGTAGTGAGTGGCACACGGAGCAGGGTGCTCTTTCCTGGCTGTGCTACCGGAGTCCCCACGGACGGAGAGAGCAGAGGGACGACCCGGTGGGTGACCTCTGCCAGGAAGCGGTAGAAGCACCACACTGCTCCCATTAAACAAGCCACATCCAAGTTCTTTCAAAAACTAAAATGTCCTTCCGACTGAAACTGGGACCATCCTGAGCCTTCACTTCCCCTCCGTAGAACACAGCCCCACACGCAAAGGCCCCGCAACACCAAACTCACTGCCATCCAGTCAACCACTCCTAACCCGCCCCCACCCTCAAAACACCAGCCCAGTCTGACAACTCTGCAAAGCATGGCCTGGTGCTCCCCAAGATTTAGGGCTTGTTTGGGCAGAAGGAGACACTTCTCCATGAGTCGCTCATAATTGGGCGGGGAGCAAACAGGGCCAGGCAGCTGGCGCTGTGGAGAGCAAAGTACAATGGCTGGGATCACTTCAGCTGCCTTCCCAAGGCTGCCAACTTGCTTAGATGCCTGGCTAATAGCAGCTGTGTGCCAGCTGTGTGCCAAGCCTGACACTGAACGCTGGGCATGCCCCGCCAACACACAGCTCTTGGTAGACTTATCCCCGCTAACATCAGTTCTTTATCCCAGAGGCCACAAACTCACTCCCTTCTGGTCAAGTCGTTTCATGGTGCGGGCTCTTTATCCAACTGAATTCATTTTATTAGAATGACTTCTTTTATCATGTTCTTATTCATAAAAATCAAGATGAAAAATTTTAAAAGATTGAATTGCTCCAATGGGATTAACTTATGTTACCAACTCTTGGAGTGGACGGTATATTAAAATACCGATTTTACATTATTTAAAATTTTCCTTACACAGGTGAGGATTTGCAGACCCTGAAACACGCAGTTGACTGGCTGTCATTTCGCTAAGCACCCAAGTCTGCTTTATGTGTTCCATGCCAAGCCAGTAGTGTAAGACCGTGACCTATGCCAAGACACTGTAGCCTCCTCTCCCTTTGGCATGATGTCCATGTTCAGAGCGCAATGCTATTTCACAAACATTGCCTGGCTCTAGACCACGACTCGCCTACTCTGAAGGACACATACCAGCTTCTCCATTCTCATGAGTTTGATGTCCTGTTGGTGCAGTTTCTCGTTCTTGATCTCTAGCACAGCTTTCAAGCTCTCCAATTCTTGCTCCAGATACATGATCTGAGGGTTTTTCTGGAGGAGACATGACAGGACACACCTCTATGACGGACCGGTTGACACATTCACATAGTTCTTAAAATAAAGAACCTCAGACTATGTTTAAGAATAAGGCAAATAAATCTCTGTCTAAGGCAACAAGTGGCTTCTCTCTTCTTAAAGCAGTATTGAAGAAAAGCTGAAGGATTGAAATAATTTTACTCTCAGACTTTGGTTATACGAATGATGTAAAAATAATAAGTAATTCATTTATCGGTAACAATATTGGGGGGGAAAAGGTTAGTGGTATCAAATCTTTATGTTAAAATAACAGAAAAACCATTGGTTACAGTATAAAATCATTCTGGATAGAGATTGTAAACAAACCCCACTCACTGCTACTGAGTCAATTCCAACTCAGGGCCACCGTGAACATGGTTTCTGAGGCTGCAAGTCCTTAAGGGAGCAGCCTCGCCGTTCTCGGTTGGTGCAGGTGGTGGATGTGAACTGGTGGCTCTTTTTTTTT